GGAGTTTGAGACCAGTGTAAGAACAGCAAGACTGCCAAATAGAAAAAAATTAGCCGTAGGTCATGGCAGGGACTGCAGCCTTAGCCACTCTGGGAGCCAAAGCTGAAGGTCCCTCAAGGGGAGGGTCCTCAAGCTGAAGAACCCCCAGGGGTTCAAGGCTGCCATGAGCCTAACCAATACCACAGCACTTCAGCTCAGGACTCAGAACAAAATTCTGTTAGAAAAATTATTGGTTGTCTAGGGGAGTTATGAGAGAAAGATGAGAAAAATAACAAAGGAAAAAGGGAAAGAGAACAAAAAGATTAGTATTAAAAATATGTTGTATAAGCACCGGTGGGTGCTCCATGATTAGGAAAAGAAAAAAAAATTAACACTAGGTAGGGTTCCTGGATTAAAAAACAAAACAAAACACAACTATGTCTGCTTCTGGATGTAGTGGGAGCAGGAAGTCGCTACTTACTTGTCATGGAGACCTGGTCATATTTTCCTGATTTTTAAAATTTTAATATGGGTGTGGTAGTTATATGAGAGTTAAATCCCTGGAGGGGTATGGGAGCTAATGTCCTGAAGCTTACACCAGACTTCCTGGGTGACACGGCCCAACTACTCTGTGTGGGAGGCAGGATCTCCCCAATTTGGTCCACATCTTTGTGGGAGTCAGCCCAGAGTTGGTTGTCCTTGCCTAGAAGTTGAAGTCGAAGCAGTTCACACTGGGATCCTAGAAAGCAGCTCCAAATGGGCTGCCTTGGGCCCTGGGTGTGAGCTGTCTCAAGCTTTCAGTAATCTTTGTGCCCCCACTGTGGCTCTCTGAGGGTGGCAGGATGCCTGGCAGCCAGAGTTTCCTGTTGAGTACACTCCACACCTAAACCCACCTGGGGCCACTCCCAAGAAGTAGCATGCATACTCTCCAGCCCACTGCCAAAGGCCAGCTTCTGTGCCCTTGAGAGTCCTGTGAGACCTCAGTTCCTCCTTGTTTCACACTATAACCCATGCCTGGAGGGATAGGCCCTCCTGGAGTTTGGTCCAATCCCTGGTCCACTTTAACAGGGTGCCAGCAGGGGTTGGGGGAGGAGGAGAATCTCTGGCAGACTTAATCCTCCAGGGATTCCACCCATGGTCTCTGTCCCTAGGTTGCAGCACCCTTTTGCTCTGGCATTCTTTGCAGGCCTCCTACCCTGCTTATCTTGTATTGCTCCTGGTGTCCTAGGCTGTCCATGCAATATTGTTTCTGGGCTGGAGAATCCAGATGGAGGCTTCTCTCCCCTAATTTACTAAGAGTACCTTATGAGATGTCTCTAATCTGCCATCTTGTAGCTTCTCCCGATTTGTGAACTTAATTGTCAGACGTCATATATACTACTGTATATGTACATCAGAAATATTTGGCTTCCATTGTTTGCTCTGAGAAGTGAGTGAGAAATCAATCTGGATTTGCACTCTGAACACTCTGAAAGCACAGCATGCAGAGATGTCCTTTGTGCAGAGCTGAGAGTCACTTCCAGGATCTTGACAAATAGAGATTATTATGCTAATCTCCCAACATCAGGTCTCACAATTAACAATATATGTTCTCCTTTTTTTTTCTGAAGGATGTTTAAAAAGGGTTTGAAGACTCACCCTGGGCGCTCTTTGATCACTGGCCTCAGGGTTTCCCAGTCTGGCCACTAGGATTGCCGCTAGGCCTCTCCCCAGAACCCCTTTCAGAGCAGTATGCAAAAGACCAAGGACTTACTTATTTAACAAGCCCTATGCATGAGGCTGATGCACACACACCTGGGGATCCTGGTCTGCAATCTTGCCACTAAAGTGTGATCTGAAGTCCAGCAGTATAAGCACCACCCTTGTCATGAACACTGTCTCATGCTCGACTCCTGTCTCTGTGTCAGCACCAAGTCCTGGTGATTCCCACACAGTAACGTCTGGACTCCGTGGTCTACATGCCTTCTAGACAAGGTGTCAGACTGTCCAGTCTGCTCTAGGCATGTGGTCAGATCACATCCTCAGCTCTGGAGGTCCAGGGTTCATCATTGTTCACGTTGTCTTCTATAGCTAATCAGAATATAGTAATCAATATACATACATGTGTATATATATATATATATATATTCCATTGTTCCCTTATCCATGTTCAAGGCTATAAATATTAATTATATGGTGGCATCCTCCAATTTTATTTTTGCAGCCCCAAAACTTCTCCTAAACGCTAGACGTTTCTCTCCAGCTGTCTCCCAGCTCCCTCCCCTCTACTTCAAGAGGACTTCTCCTTCACTGAATGTCTGGGATGCCCCCTTCTCAAACACACCCCTAACACAGTTGTCCCCATCTCCACCGATGGCAGCTCCATCCTTCTGCTAACAAAACCCACAGTTGTGGGTGTCCTCCAGGACTCCTCTTCCTCACATCCCAGATGCATTAGAAGATGCTGTAAAAGTTCACCTTCAAAATGTATCCAGAACCCATCACTTCCCTCCATTCCCACTGCTCACACCAGTATCTGCAGTCAGGAATCCTGCCCTCCTTCCCTGCTGTTTCCCTGCTGTTCCATTGTCCCCTCCCCTCCCTCTTAGTTCAGTTCTCAGCATAGCAGTCAGAGAGACCCTGTGAAAAGAGAAGTCCTGCCATGTCCTACTTCTGCTCAAAACCATCTTTTAACTCCCCATCTCAATGGGGCAAAGGTCACACCCTTTCCACACCCTCCAGGCCTACCTACTCCAGCCCCACCTCTTTCCTCATCTTGGTGACTGTCCAGCCCTCCTGACCTCCTGCTCTTCCCAGAACACAGCCACCTTCCTGCTCCAGTACTTTTGGGTTGAAGTTTTCACCTGTGTGGAGAGAACTTTCCTAGACATCCTCATAGATAGTTCGTCATGTTCTTCAAATCTTTCCTCAAAGATCACCTTTATAGGTCCCACACTAACCACCCAGAACAATGGCCACCTTCCCTGTCCCTACAGACCTTCTGGGTCATTCTCCTCATAGCACTTACCATCTTCTAACGTAAACACTTTCCTTATTTGCTCTGCTTATAGTGTGTAGTCTGTCTTTTCCCACTAGAACACATGCTCCACAAAACTTACAATTTTTTATGTACTTCAGTGATGTTCCCCAGATGCAAAAAAGTCTGTCCTACATCTGGCAGACAATCCTCTCACACTGACATCAATGCTGCTTGTGCTTTTTTCCTCAGTGTGTTGTGTACCCTCCCTCACCCTCCCTTCCATAATGGCCCTCCTGCACACAGTAATATTTCTCTTCTCAGAAAGAACAATCCTTGACTATGGGTCCAATTTTGCAAACAAATACGCATCTAAATTACAGCCTACTTTAGAAATCCATAACTCTGGAATAAAGCCAGTGCTAAGACTACTAGAACTAAGGGCAGGGAGTGGTAGAAGCAGAGCAGAAGAGGAAAGTTACCTAGGATGAGAAGTGATGGGATCCCTTCTCTTTGCTAATTCCAGAATCTGGTTCTTTAAAAAGGTTGGGCAGCAACGTGGATAGAATTGGAGAATGTTATATTAAGTGCCATGCACAGAAAGGCAAAAGTTGTGTTCTCTCTGGCGAGTGAGAGCTAAAAAAATTGATCTCCTGTAGGCAGCAAACAGAATTGTGGTTACCAGGGGCTAGGAAGGGTAGTGGGGAGGGGGAAAAGAAGAGGGGTTGGTTAATGAGTACAAAAACACAGATGCAAGAAATGAGACCCAATGTTAGTAGCATAATAGAGTGACAATCACTAACAATGGGCTGGATGGAATGGCTCATGTCTGTGGAAGGATTGCTTGAGGCCATGAGTTCAAGACCAGCTCAGGCAATAGTGAGACCCCATCTCTACAAACAAATTTTAAAAAAATTAGCTGGGCATGGTGTCAGCATCTGTGATCTCAGCTACTCAGGGGGGTGAGAAAAGAGAATCAATTGAGCCTGCAAGTTTGAGGTTGCAGTGAGCTTTGATAATGATGCCACTGCACTCTAGCCTATGCAACAAAGTAAGACCATGTCATCAAATAACCTTATTTTAAACACAATGACCCAGGGTATTGTATATTTCTTTTTTCCTAAGGTCTCACATATTTATTACTGCACCAGCTTATTAGGGAACAGTACATAAACAAAGAGAAAACTCATTTTCCCAATGAAATGTGGCAACTGTCCAACTGATGACATTTTCAGCTTGATATGGTAAGGCGACAGTGATCGAAGTACAGCCTAAGTACATGCCATCGCATGTGCAATTCCTTATAGACCCAGCTTGGTTCTTCTCCAGTGTCTCCTTTTTGAGTTGTACCTGATTTTATTACCGGTTTTCATTCAAATCCACTGGGGAATGGGATGATTCTGTTTTTGTTTCCTGGCCCAAAACCGCTTGATTCTGTTAGTCTTTTGGGAGGACATGGCGACAAATGGGACTACTCAAACTCACCCAATGGCGTAGAGCCTTATTGTATATTTCAAAATGAGAAGATTTAGTCCAAAACTAAGTTAGAATGTTCCCTACGAAAAGAAATGATAAATGTTTGAGGTGATGGATATCCTAATTATCCAGATTTGATCATTACACAGTGTATGCTTGCATTAAAATATCATATGTACCCCATAAATACAAGTAATATTCTGTATCCATAAAAATTAAAATGAAATTAAAAATAAAATTAAAAATTTGGGGGAAAGATGAAAAATGCCTTCTAAGAAAGAGCCCTAGAAAGTGGGTATGAGTTAGATAGGTGTGAAAACTCTATCTCTTGATGCCACAGACTCCTGTGTACAGAGGACTACCCTGGGCCATGTGTCAGCCTCTGTGATCACAGGTCCTACTAGGAGAAGGTTCTATTGAAGGGACAACGACAATGGATAACCCTGCCAAGGTGTGACCACATAAAGACCATGATGGACTGAGCACCGATGGGAGAAAGGCTCTTTCCACACTCAGCTTCTTATGGCTTTCTTTTATTTCCACTTGCAGCAGACTCAGCACAGCAAACACACAGAATCTGAAAGGTTCTCAGGTCTTCCTTTTATTTACTCTCTTGTCTCTCTCATAGGAAAAATTTGAGAAAACAAATTTATATTGAAATTCTTATTTTCAGTATGGAAGTAGTACAGTGTACCATAAAGTTGAGTCAGGGATGGAGGCATCCTACTCCCATCTCTCTGAAACAGGAAAGATAATCAGGAAGGAACACAGGTCAGTGTAGGAGAAGGGTCACTGTGCATGTGGGGGTGGGCTGGCCTCCCTGCCTACTCAAATTATGCAAAAATAGGGATGCAGAGTCATTCAGAAGCATTTGCAGAAAAAGAAGTTAGAAACTCTTAAAGTCTCAAAAGGGAGGTGTGAACACTTAATCCCACACAAGGTAGCTGCTTCAGGCTACCTTTTCCTTACTCAGAAAAAAGTAAGGAACAAATTCAGATCAGTCACGGTAAGTGGTGACACTCTCAGCAGCCCACGGCACACTCAAAATGTCCCATCAAAGAATCCCTACAGCCCAGCTGTGTCCCCTCTGCCTCACTTATCCTCATATCAGGCCACCTAGGGTCTCAACTTTATAAGCTATGAGGGACACAGGATCCTAGGTACTGTCACTGCCCGGGGTAGGAGAAAACAGGACTTGTTCAGAGCCCACAAAAGATATGGCTAAAGGAAGAATTATGTGGCTGGAAGCTCTACCATGGGCTCCTGTCTATACTATCCCAGAGACCTCACAGATCACCATACTCCACACTTACCTACAGCCTGAATGTAGCCCCCTCCTCTTCTACCTGTGGGAAGAAAATGCCCTGTGAGAAGCCAGGCACTAGGTAGGGCCATGAGGTCCTAGAACAGTGTTCTCAACCTTCCTAATTGCCGCATTGTTACAAATGGAAAAAAGGGGTCACGACCCACAGGTTGAGAACCTCTGTCCTAGAGGAACCCCCCAATCTTGGATCCCAGAGAAGTTTCCATAATTGTGATTGAAGGCCAAGGGCAGGATTAGGAATCACAGGGGAAGGAAAAAGTGAATCAACTGCCCTCCTGGAGGTCTGTCCTGAGCAAAGTCCTTCCTCTCTGACCTGTGACTGCTGGGGATCAGGTCCCCATCACTACAATCACCACATCAAAAGTCTGTCCTTCATTGTCATGTGTGCTACACAAAAGAGTAAGTGTTGGCACAAAGGGCCCCAGGCTGGGGATGCAGGTGTGTGTGGATGGCACTTCCCAGTAATGGGGCGGGATACACTGTTACTTGGGGTTGACACCCCCATGGGACAAGAAAATGCAGACCTGGGGCGGCACCTGTGGCTCAGTGAATAGAGCGCCTGCCCCATATACCCATGGTGGCGGGTTTGAACCCAGCCGTGGCCAAACTGCAACAAGAAAATAGCCAGGCGTTGGGGGAGCACCTGTAGTCCCAGCTACTCGGGAGGCTGAGGCAAGATAATCTCCTAAGCCCAGGAGTTGGAGGTTGCTGTGAGCTGTGACACCACAGCACTCTATTGAGGGGCAACAAAGTGAGACTCTCTTAAAAAAAAAGAAAGAAAAAAAAAAAAAGAAAATGTAGATCCTGCTACTCACCCCTACCTTACCTAAGCATTTCTTAATCCAAATCACAGCAGCAACCACAGCTCCAGTGAGCATAGTTCCAAGGAGAACTAGGCCAGCAACGATGTCCACCATGGGGATGCTGGGCTGAGAAGATGACTCTGGGAAAGGACAGGAAGGTGAGGGGCCTGACCCCAGGCCTCAGCCCTGACTCCCTGCTGAAGGGCTCCAGAAGGGCCCCTGCTTTCCCTGAGAAGAGTGTGATGCCCCTCCTCCCCTTCTTACCCCATCTCAGGGTGAGGGGCTCCCGCAGCCCCTTGTGCTGCACATGGCACGTGTATCTCTGCTCCTCTCCAGAAGGTACCACCACAGCTGCCCACTTCTGGAAGGTTCTGTTGTCCCCTGAAGGCCTGGTCTCTATAAGCTCCATGTCCTGGGTCTGGTCCTCCCCATCCCGCTGCCAGGTCAGTGTGATCTCCGCAGGGTAGAAGCCCAGGGCCCAGCACCTCAGGATGGCGTCATGGTCAGAAATGGGGTGGCGCATCACACGTGTCTCAGGGGGATCTGAAGGGAGGAGTCAGAAAATTAATTCAGGCACTTTGCTTCCCTTAGGGACAATCCAGCAGAGCACCCTGAAGTGACATACTCTGGAGTGACCTCAGAGTGACATCCTGAGAATTGACAGGACAACTGGGGTGGGGAAAGGAATGTAAAATCCAGACACCAGCCTTGACCCAGGGATCTTGGATGATGTCCTGTTCCTTGAAAGTTCCAGTCTCTAAAGAGGAGAAGAGGGACTTCTAGACCTGATCTGAGTAGAGATTGAGTGACCCGGAAGGACTGGAATCAGACCTCCAAACACACTGACCTGGGCAGAGAACAAGGCCTGAGAGAAAACGTCATGGTGCCCAAGGTTGCTGCAGGGTCACTGGGAACCGCTGACCAGGATTTCAGGGACTGTGTGTCCCTCCTTCCCTGGGAGACTTCATCTCTTAACTGTCCCAGAGGGAAGGGCGGGCTCTCAGAGTCACTCTCAGGTACAGGACCTGGACACTCAGGGGGCGTCTTCCTGCTCTGGACCAGAATGAGAGTGATATTCTGCGTTGGGCCCATTTTCCTCCCCTACTTGTGGACCCGGAGCCGGGAAGTCTACAAGAGATGTGGGAGGTGCCCCGCGTCCCACGTACCCGCGCGCTGCAGCGTGTCCTTTCCCTTCTCCAGGTATCTGAGGAGCGACTCCACGCACTCCGCTTGCACGTAGGCCCTCCAGCGCCCCGCCGCACCCTCCGCCTCCCACTTGCGCTGGGAGATCTGAGCCGCCATGTCCGCCGCGGTCCAGGAGCGCAGGTCCTCATTCAGGACCAGGTAGTCGGCGCCGTCATAGGCCGACTGCAAGTACCCGTGGAGGAGGCTCCGGTCCGGCCCCACGTCGCAGCCAAACATCCCCTGGAGGGTGTGAGACCCTGGCCCCACCCCCGCTGTCAGCCCCGCCCCGCCCCGACCAACCCGCGGGGACTTTGTCCTAAACTGAAAACGAAACCAGGTGAAAGTCCCCGCGGGCCCTTGGATTGAAGGTCTCAGGGGTCCCGCAGCCTCGGGGTGACTCTCGGACCCGGAGACTCCGGCGACGCGGGGTTGTCTGGGGGGTGGGGAGGGGTCGTGACCTGTGACCCGAGCCGGGGGTCACTCACCGGCCTCGCTGTGGTTGTAGTATCCGCGCAGGTTCTCCAGGCCCTTTAGGTCAGCCTGTGCAAGGCCCTTGACGTGCCGTGTCACATCGTCCCAATACTCCTGCCCCTCCCGCTCCGCCCACGGCGCCCGCGGCTCCATCCTCGGATTCTCCGCGTAGCTGTCGAACCGCGCGAACTGCGTGTCGTCCACGTAGCCAACTTCGATGAACCGGGACTTCCCGCCGCCGGGTCGAGACACGGAGGTGGAGAAATACCGCAGGGAGTGGGAGCCTGGGGGCGGGAGGGGCTGAGACCTGGCCCGACCCTCCTCCGGGAGCGGCTCCCCCGGGTCCCTGGCCGGGCGGTCCCCTCGCTCTCCCCGAGGAGGCCGTTTCTTTCCAGGCCCTGCACTCACCCGCCCAGGTCTCGACAGGTAGCTGGTTCGTAACCACGTCCGCCGACAGCAGCAGAAGGGTGGTTCGGGACACCGTGACCCCCATCCTGGGAGTCTGAGCAGACGCTGAGTCTAGGTAGCTCTGCGGGACTTAACGACCGCGAACCGCGGCAACGCTGATTGGCTTCTCTAGAAACCCGCACCCAGTGGGCGTGAGAACTGGTGTAATCCTGAGTAACCAGGAAGGAGGACCTGACCAGGGTTGGGAGATAAAGAAGCGAAAAGCTGAGGAGATGGGAGTGTCTGTCGCTGAGCTTCCCCACCCCAAACAGCCCTTGGGACTGGGATCCCTGAGATTCCACGCCCGGAACCTGGGACTTTCCCCTGATCTCTCTCCTGCAACGAGCGCGGTTCCTCATGCTGTCTCTTGAGTCCTGTCCCAGGAGCCGTCTGATCCCCAGGGCTGGGTTCAGCCCCTTCCCTTTTCTCTTACACCTTGAATCCTCTCATTGAACTAGACGCCCTGCGTCCTACTCCTACCCGCCCCCCCCACCCCGATTCTTCTAGAAGAGAACTTACCCCAGGGAACTTGACACCGAAGTGAACTCGCCCTGGGACTGGAGGTGTAGAGATGGTGGTTTTCTCTATAATAAGGTGACCAGATTTTAACATTGGTAAAGCGGGACACCATTGACTGTGTGTGTGTGTGTGTGTGTGGGGGGGGGGTTCTTAATTAAAAATTTGGTCTATATGGAGCAACAAAAATTTTCATAGAATGCAAAAATAGTATTGTAATATTTTTTAAAATTTCAACATAGGTACAGTTTACAAATATAATACATTAAAAATTATGTATAGTATTATTTTATTCTTTGGCATATTTCTCATTTGAGTGAATTTTTTTAGTAGATTGCTGTGTTGTTTAAAAGGTCATGAATTTTTCACAAGAATTTGTTAAATTATATTTCACACATAAAATGGCTTTCAAAGTCTCAACACTTAATTGTGATTTTTCTGATGTCCACACTTTATTTACCGTAGAAAAAACGCGTTCAGTCACAGCATTAGTTCCTGGTAAGGACAGCGCGTATTCTACAACTTTAGTGCTTAGTTGTATGGAACATGGTTTGTTTCAAAATGATGAAATATTTCTAACCATTTGTTCTCTATTGTGATTTTTGCTGATGCCCAAGATTTAAGCTTTTCCTTATCAATATATATTTTTTAATAATGATACCTCATTAAAAAGATCATTTTCAGAAATATTACTATGTGGGAAATTTTGAGTAATATGATCGAATGATTTTTGCACATCATTCCAATTAAGTTCTTGTTTTAATGTAACCCAATGAGAATGTTCAATATCATTGTCATGTACCGTCCACTCTTCTAAATAATCTATGCAGTTACCATAGACCTTTTTAACATGATTCATGATATCTGCACGATTTATTGCACCTTGTTCTTCTAGCTGGCTTATACTATAATGGATAGTTAACGGAAGAAAATTATTTTCTAAGCGCTCTTGACACTGAAATTTTAAATTATTAACTTCATTTGCTACTTTGATTACCAAAATTTTGTCATCTTCAATAAGTTTTATAGCATTTTGAAAAAGAGCTGCTTGATTGTGTACAAACTCTAGCCAAATTTTTGAAGATTCTTTTTCAAAAAACTCTTCTAAAATTCTAGGACATTTATCCTGTGATAGAAAGTAGGATTTCAAAGGATTGTGTATTTTCAAAATTCTTTCGACGGCTGGCAAAAGAGTTAACCAGCGCGTTTTACTGTATCCAAGTATTTTCTGATATTCGACTTCCGCAGTTTCACAAAATTCTTTAAGCATTTCAATGCACACAATGTATATATAGAAATAAGAATATATTACAATAACAATATTATCGGATAATCAGTTCTCAACAATTATTTGTTGTTATTAAAGTTTAACATTATAAAATTAACAAAAATAATATAAAACTCATATCCTGGTGAAATAGCCACATGGCAGCCGAAAACTGTATATTCCCTTCTTGTTCTCCCGTCATTCTCTAGCTTGTTGTGCATTCTTTCCAAAACATTGGGACTTTTTAAAAATGCCATGGGACATGGGAAAAACTGTTAAAAGTTGGGACTGTTCCGCCAAAAGCAGTATATCTGGTCACCTTACTCTATAACCTGAAGAAGTTGTGTCTGAACACACCTGACAGAGACTCTCATAGAGACCGGTTTCCTGCTTGCTTATTAACTAGAGTAGGTAGCACAATCTAAGTAACCCCCGAATGATCAGGAATCTAATCTGTAACAGAAGTGATGTTGGCCCCTTGACAGAGCAAGGAATGTGTCTGAATGCATTGCAGTTAGCCTCTGAAGCTCCCGAGTTTTACTTTCCCTCACTATGTATCTTGGACTCTGAGTTGTAGTTTAAAATGATCTTTATTCCATATCCCTTAGTCTGTACTCGTGAGTGTGGGACATCTCCTCATATGAAGAACCCCAACTTTTTTTTTTTTATTAAATGATAGCTGTGTACATTAATGCAAACATGAGGTTCAGTGTAGTGTTTTCATATACAATTTGAAATATTTTCATCAAACTGGTTAACATAGACTTTATGTCATTTACCTAGTTATTGTGTTAAAACATTCATACTCTAGTTCTAGAAAAAATCACTTGTACCCTTGTAAGACAGACCATATAGGTAATCTTTCCAATCACCCTCCCTCCACCCATCCTCCCTTCTCCCCTCCCCTCCCCCACCCCCTTCCCATATTCTTGGGCTAGAATTAGGTTGTAGCTTTCATTTGAGAACTGTAAATTAGTTTCATAATAGGGCTGTGTACATTGGATACTTTTTCTTCCATTCTTTTGATATTTGCTCAGAAGAACTTTTTCCAGTTCCATCCATGTAAACATGAAGGAGGTAAAGTCTCCATCTTTCTTTAGGGCTGCATAGTATTCCATGGTGTACATATACCACAGTTTATTGATCCATTCCTGGGTTGATGGGCACTTGGGCTTCTTCCATGACCTGGCAATTATGAAGTGGGCTGCAATAAACATTCTGATACAAATATCTTTATTGTAATGTGATTTTTGATCTTCTGGGTATATACCTAATAGAGGAATTGTAGGATCGAATGGCAGGTCAATTTTTAGTTCTCTAAGTGTTCTCCAGACGTCTTTCCAAAAGGAACGTATTAGTTTGCATTCCCACCAGCAGTGTAGAAGTGTTCCCTTTTCTCCACAGCCACACTGGTTTCCAACTGTGATCCATTAAAGACAAAGGTAAAATCCAGGCCAGGCTAGGCTGATTTTATTACCACAGCAACTCTGGTTAGGGGATTTTGTGATATGGGCTAATCTTACTGGAGTTAGGTGATATCTCAAAGTAGTTTTGATTTGCATTTCTCTAGTGATTAAGGATGGTGAGCATTTTTTCACATGCCTGTCTTCTTTGATGAAATTCCTCTTCAAGTTGTTACTGTGTATTTCAACCAGGAGTTGTAGGAATTTAACTTCAAAGTAGGAATATTACTTCAAAGCTGCACGTGCTCCAATAGTTAAAATGTCCTTTGCCTGTACTCATGCACTGCCTGTTTTTATAAATTATTCACATTTGAGCTGTGTGCATATTTAGGACGGGACACTTGGTGCTTTTAAAACCCCATTCACATTAGGAGGCAATTAGCTTTCAGGCAGCCCACAAATGTATTAATTACCAAATGCAAAGAGCACCATGCTAGGCTCTGTATTAAAAATGCATAAAACATTATTTAAATCTGAGAATTCAGCTCCTTTACAACTCTTTCTCTCTGCTCCTATTACTCACATCCTGCTTCTCTAAGCCCTTCCCTCTGCCTCTCTCATCCTCAGGCCCCTTCTCCCCTTAGTCTTACCACCTCTTATTCCTGAACTGTGACACTAGCCTTGTCCCCTCACCTGCTTCCCAGGACTGTTCTCCATGGTGATCACTGCTACTGAGAGTCAGATTCTGTCATTTTTTCACTTCAAATGCTCCAATGGTTTGATCTCACTCTTGTAAGCCCCTGGAAAATAAAATAAGGCATATGAGCACAGGGGCTTTTGTACTGTTTGGGTCTAAATTGTATTCCCAGCATGGAAAGGCATACCTGGTATATAACAGAACTAAATTAATTATTGTTGAATGAAGGAATATGATTGCAGTAAAGTTAAATCACCTGAAAATCATAAGCTTGAACATACTAGAAGAGTTAGGAAGTGTTTTATTTCATGCAAGTAATTGCATGTCAGTTCATAAATTCTTTCTGGTTAAAAACATGTTATGTGCCTATCTATTGAGCTTGTATATTAATTTTCTATTTCTACATACCAAATTACCACAAATTTATTGTCTTTAAACAAGAGCCATTTGTTTAGTGCTCCTTAGTCAGAAAGCCAGGCATGGTGTGGATGGGTTCTCTGTTCAGGATTTCACAAAGCTGTGCCCTCATCTTGAGGTTGGGATCCTCTGGTAAGCTTACATGGAGCCCATGGGCAGAATTCAGTTTCTGGCAGTTTTAGGACTGAGGTCCCTGTTCGATTACCAGCTGTCAGGGTGGGGTGGGGGTCAGGGGGAGGGCTGCCACCATCATTCTTTGCCACAGGAACTCTATACTTTCAAAGACCAAAGACTCACACTGATTCCCTTTCTCTCTGTGAATCTGGTGCTCAGGACAAATCCAGCCTTTTAAGAACTCACCTGATTAGGACATTTCAATACAGGATAATCACTGTCTTAAAGTAAACTGATTTGGGACTTTAATTATATCTGCATATCTCTACTTAGCAGCATCTGCATTAGTGTTGACTAAACCTGAGTGAAGGTGAATAACCAGGGGGTGGTTATTGGGGTACATCATAAAATCAGCCTAGCTAGCCTGGATTTTACCTTTGTCTTTAATGGGTCACAGTTGGAAATAGAAGTTCAAATGAATAGGTGGTTGTGAGTGGTAATAAAATGCATCCTTTAAGCCATGGGAATTCTTCTTATATCCTAAAACCAAATGACATGTTTAATACCTTATAATTAATATAGAACAAATGAAAATTTAAGTGCAATAATTTCTTCTCAACAAATGGCCAACAAACACATGAAAAAATGCTCATTGTCCCTAATTTCAGAGAAATTAAAATGCAAACCACCTTGAGATATCACCTAACCCTAGTGAGAATAGTGAGAAGACTCATATCACAAAGTCCCAAAGCTGCAGATGCAGGCATAGATGCAGAAAAAAGCCAATACTTTGGCACTGTTGGTGGGAGTGCAAACTAATATAGCCTCTTTGTGAAGATGTATGGAGAATCCTTAAAGAACTCAAAATAGACCTTCTATTTGATCCTGCAATCCGATTACTAGGTATCTACCCAGAAGAAAAAAAAAATTTAGCATAAGGATATTTGCACCAGATTGTTTACCACAGCTCAATCACAATTGCCAAGATGTGGAATCAACCTATGTTCCCATCAATGGATCAATAAACTTTGGTATATGTATATCATGGAATACTATTCAGCCATAAAAGATGGAGACTTTATATCTTTTGTATTAACCTGGATAGAGTTGGAAATAATTCTCTTTCTCTCTCTTTTTTGAGACATGGTCTCATTCTGTCACCCTGGATGAGTACCATGTCATCATAGCTCACAGAAACCTCATACATACTCTTGGGCTCAAGTGATCCTCTTGTCTCAGCTTCCTGAGTAGCAGGGACTACAGGTGCCTACCACAATGTCCAGTGTGTTTTTTCTATTTTTAGTAGAGATGGGGTCATGCTCTTCCTCAAGCTGATCTTGAACAAATGAACTTGAGCAATCCACTCCTCTCAGCCTCCCAATATACTAGGATTACAGATGCAAGTCACTGCATCTGGTTGGAAATGATTCTCTTTATTAAAGAATGGAAAATCAAGTATTTAGTTTATTCAATACTAATATGAAGTCAGTAGATGAACTAATATATGCTCTCACAGGAGAAAAACTCAATTCAAACTGGGGAAAACAGGAAAGAGCAAGGGGTATAGGGGAGGAGGGAGTGGCATTGGTGGGCTCTCATTGGGCACAATGGAAGTGTATATGGCGCACCTCCTGGTGTGAAGGCCACAACTACAACAGGGACCATACCTAATAAATGCAACATTGTAACCTAATGGTTCATTCCCTCATATTAATCTGAAATAAAAAACTAATTCCTTCTCTGTTTGGAAGGTGTTATAGTTATCTACTGCGTGTAACAAATTTCACAAAACTTAGCAACTCTAAAAACAAATATTTATGATTTCCCATACTTACTCAAGAATCCAGATGAGTTTTCTTCTAGCTCAGGGCTTCTCACAAAGTTGCAGTCCAGTTTGTCAGCCAGGGCTGTGTCATCTGAGGGCTTGATTGTGGCTGGAGCAAACCATCTTATCTTTAGCAGAACTCTTTCTGATAAAATATGATATTGCCATTCCTAATCCTCCTTAAAAAAAAATCTGCTTTCTTGCTTCAGCATTCTTTTCATCTTCTTTGACATGATGAGTGTTAAGCAGACAGAATTAAAAAATACTAGGCCAGAAGTGGTGGCTCACGTCTGTTATCCCAGCACTCTGGGAGGCTGAGGCAGGTGGAGCTTATGAGTTCCAGACCAGCCTGAGCTAGAGTGAGACCCTCGTCTCTAAAAACAGCAGGGCGTTGTGGTGGGCACCTGTAGTTCCAGCTATTCGGGAAGCTGAGGCAAGAGAATCACTTGAGCCCAAGAGTTTGAGGTTGCTGTGAACTATGACACCACAACACTTTACCAGGGGTGACAAAGTGAGACTCTGTCTCAAAGAAAAAAAAATGAATAAAAAGAATTAAAAAATACTGTGGAACTGTGCAACTGTTTACAAAATTCACTTCAAACAGAAACATAGTATACTATTATCAAAAACTGCTAACAGACTGGCATACTTAACCACCCTGAACTGTTCCCAACCAGCCTCACATGGTGGTGGCACCCATCAGGTGGGGGAAGTGAGAACTAAATCCTGAGTGGAGCAGCTGTCAGTTCAGCCCTTCCGGCTTACTAATGTCTAATTGTGCTGGTCAGTCTGGGGGGATTGTTTCTTTCAAATTTATCTTTGTTCTTCGGTATTTTAAGTAGATTCATTTTCAAATAAAGTAAAAATATAAAGGACAAGCAAACATGTATTAATAAAATTAAGAGGATTTGTTCTTAGTTAAGTTTGGATTCATTTATAAAGCTGCACCTAGAAAGCCACATGTGACCTTAAGGCCACAGGTGCCCCACCTCTGGTCTAAGCACTACAGGCCTAGAGACAGGGCTCAGGGTGTGTGTGGGGGTGTGGGGGTTGCTTGGGGTGGAACAAACACATGGCCCGCAGGGCATTTCTCTGTGGTCCTTGTCTCTCTTCTTTGCCAGGGATCAAAGAAGTTTGTATTCAAGGAAGAGAAAGTCTTGGCAGGCCTCTGCAAAGTTGGCATTCTTGATATTTAGGGCCAGATAACATTTGGTGCATGTGAGACTGGGTCGACTTGTCTATTGTAAGATGCTCACAGCAGCTCTGGCCTCTCATGACCAGATATCAGTAGTGTGTCCTCCTCACTCTATTCAAGGCAATGAAAATCTTCTCCAGGCATAGCTCGTGTCCTCTGGTGGGCAAAATCACCCCTGGATGGGAACACTGGTTTGAGAGGTGAGAGACACTAGGGAGCTGGGCCTGGAGAGGGGAGGGATGAGGAAACAGAGACATAGCAGAATGGGGCTGGGCAAGAGGTGGGGGAGTCCAGGGCTGGAGGGCCTGTGGGCTGTGCCTCTGGAGCATCAGGAGGCCTGGAGCATGTGAGGAATGGGGACAGTGGCAGGACCTCCTAACACTATAAAGTCACACTTGTAGCCACCATACTCCCAGTCCAGGCATCTGCACTCTAGGAAATTAGGCTAAAAGTGGCCATTATAGGGTCAGAGAGAGCCCTGGTAAACCCAAACCCTGTGTGCCTCCCAAGATGATGAATATGCCGGTCACAGCTCCTCCTGTAAACATTACTGCCAAATGTATAACCCAGTTCTGGGTAGGAAACACAGTGTATAGAGGCGCAAAGTAAAAGACATTAAAGAAAATAATATGACAAATTCAGTATGAAAGACATTCTGAAGAAACGTGGCCACAGCTCTGTAGTAAATAATGCTGTTTTGAAACAAAATAGGTGGGTGGATTGTTATAGATCTTCAGTAACTAAGGAAACAAAGCCAAAGGCAGTGAGTGGGTATTTTAGGAAAGCAACTATAAAAATATGTACAAAACTTATTGAATAAATGGAGATTTTTGCATATGAAAGGACTTTGCATTATATTATGGAATTACTATTTGTTTTCTAAGGTATAACACTGTAAGGTTTTGATTTCTTTTTCTTTTTGAGACAAGGTCTTGCTCTGTCAGCTGTGCTACAGGGCAGTGGCAACCTCAAACTCCTGGGTTCAAGCAATCCTCCTGCTTTAGTCTTCCTAGTAGCAAGGACTACAGGCATGAGCTACCCACCAAGCTAATTTTTCTTTCTCTCTCTCTCTTTCTTTAATGTCTTGCTCTTGCTCAGGCTGGTTTCTAATGCCTGACTTTAAGTTAACCTCCTGCCTTGGCCTCCCAGAGCACTAAGGTTATAGGTATGAGCCACTGCGCTCAGCCCAGCAATGTTGGATTTTAGTAGATACACAATGAAGTGTTCAGTGGTGAAGAATCATGGGCCTTGCAGCTTACTTGAAAATCTTCATCCCTGTTCACTGTTTGAACTCTTTGATCTCTCTCTTCACACACACACGGTAGAAACCTATCTACCCGTAACTATAAAGAGATACTAAACAAATATGACAAAATGATAACTCTTGAATTTCATTGCATTATCTTTCACTTTTTTGCATGTTTGAAAGTTTATATAACTATAAGTAGGAAGATAGAGAGAGAGAGATAGAGAGAGAAAGAGAACACACACTGAATCTGAAGATCCTAGGGCTTTCCATCTTAGCAGGAAAAAATGCTTAATAATTGTGGTTCTCTAAGTGTGGCCTCTAGATCCCTCAGATTTTCACATTGTCCTCTGAAAGTCTAGGAGGGAAACCTGTTTTTCATAATAATACTGAGATGCCATCTGCATGTTTCATTGTGTTGATTTTCCATTGATGGTACAAATGCCAACATAGGTCAGCCAACAGTTCCTAAGTAGAGAGCAAGGCAATAGCAACAAATTGCATTCCCACTTAAGAATATCTTTGATCTAGCAGTAAAAATTATTACTTTCATTTAATTTTGATCCTGGAGTGTATGTCTTTTTAATATTCTTTGTTGGAAAATGAGAAGTATGCATAAAGCACTTACTGTATGTAGGAGCACGATGGTAGTCTTGAGGAAGGGCCCCTGTGGGACTGGGCTGTGAGCTCAGCTTGCTGTTCTAACTTGCCCCTTGAAAGTCACTGCATTATTTCCAGTTTGAGGCTATTATGAACTAGCTGCTTTACATGTCTTTTTGTGCACATTAATTTTCCTTTATTTGGGTTAAATGTCCAGGAGGGCATTGCTGATAGCATAGTGATTGCACATCTCCTTTATAGAAAACTGCCATCTCATTTCCAGTGGCTGTCCCATTTTACCTTCCTACCAGCAGTGGGTAAGTGACCAAGTTTCTCTGTATCCTTACTATCATCTGATGCTATCTTCATTTTTTATTTTAGTCACTCTTATAGGTATATAGTGACATTTCACTGTGGTTTTAATTTGTATTGCCCTAATGGCAATGATGTTGGGCATCTTTTCATAAACCTCTGTGTTTATCATCATCAGTGAAATGTCTGTTCTTGTTTTTTCCTCATTACCTATTTTGTCATTGGATTTCTTTTGTACCATTGAGTTTTAAGATTTCTTCATATATATATGTACACACACACATATATATTTTTATTGAGACAGAGTCTTACTTTGTCACTCTTGGTAGAATGTTTTGGTGTCATAGCTCACAGCAATCTCAAACTCCTGGGCTTAAGTGATTCTCCTGCCTCAGTCTCCCAATTAGCTGGGACTACAGGCACCCGCCACAATGCCAGGCTGTTTTTAGAGATGAGGTCTCTCTCTTGCTCAGGCTGGTCTCAAACTTGTGAGCTTAGACAATCCACCTACTTCGGCCTCCCAGAGTGCTAGGATCACAGTTGTGAGCCACCATACCCAGCCTTACATTTCTTTTCTTTTTTCTTTATTTTTTTTGAGATAGAGTCTCTCTTTGTCACATTCGGTAGAGTGCTGTGGCATCACAGCTCACAGCAATCTCAAACTCTTGGGCTCAAGCGATACTCTTGCCTCAGCCTCCCAAGTAACTGGGACTTCTGGAACCCACCACAATGCCTGGCTATTTTTTTTGTTTTGTTTAGCAGGCCCATGCTGGGTTCAAACCCACCATCCCCAGAGCATATGGCCAGCGCCCTAACCACTGAGATATGAGCACCCAGCCAGTTCTTCCCATATTCTAAAGCAAGTCATTATAGGATATGTTATTGGCAAATACCTGTAGTTTTTCTTTTCATGCTCTTCATAGGTCTTTCACAGAGCAGAAGTTTTTAATTTTGATAAGATCCAGTTTATCAACTTTTTCTTTTATGGATCATATTTTTGGGGTTATGTCTATGAACTCTGCCCAGTTCAACGTTCCAATGAGTTTTTTTTTTTTTTTGGAAAGGTTTGTTGTTTCAGATATAATGTTTTGCTTTTAAGTCTGTGATCCATTTTGAGTGTGCGCGTGTATGTACGTGTGTATGTATAAGGGGCGAGGTTTAGGTCGAGGTTCACTATTTCACTGTGGTTGTCCAGTTGCTCCAGCACCATTTGTTGGGAAGACTGTCCTCCCTCCACTGAATTCCTTTTATACTTTTGTAAAAAGTCATTTGGGCATATTTGTGTGCTTTGTCCATTTTTTAGTTGTTTATCATCTTACTATACTTTTAATTATTATACTTTTATAATATACTTGTAATTATACTTTTACTTATACTTTTAATAATTTTTAAATTTGCTGTTTAGTTCTCTGTCACATGTATGTGTATGAGTTGCATATCTTTCTCCCAGTCTGTAGTTTGTCATTTTATTTTCTTAATGGTGTCTTTTGAGGCACTTAAGTTTTAAGTATTAATTAAGCCCAACTTATGTTTTTTTCATTTGTGGAGTATGCATTTTGTGTTTTAGCTAAGAATTTTTTGCTGAACCCAAAATCACAAATATTTTCTCTTGTATTGTTTTTTTTTTTTTTTTTTTTTAGAAATTTTATACTTCTAACTCTAGCATATATTTTAGCTCTTTAGGTATATGGTTCATTGGAGTTAATATTTTATATAGGGTTGAGCTGAGTTTCTAAAT